CGGGCTGCAGCGGTCGACCTCACAGACGCATTCATAATTTTTTTACATGCTGTTCATTAAAAACGGGAATTTTGTCAAATATAAATTAATATTTTATTATATTAGCATATTGTGCATATATAAATATAGGTTAGGTGTTTAGGTTCAGTTGACAATTATTCGTATTTGCAGGACGTGGATGAAGTATTTACAGCGTTGTGGTTCAAACAAAATTCGTCAGTGAAGCACTTGTTCCGGAAGTGTTCGAACGTCAGCAGTTGTGAGTCGTGTGTAAACCATTTGTCATTCATATACAGGGGGGGGGGGGGGGGGGGGGGTTGGCGGGTGCATGGAATCACTTTTGGGTCTTTGTTTGGAGGACGGGCTTGTATTTGTATTCAGCCCGTCCTGCAAACAAAGATCCAAAAGTGATTCCATGCACCTGCCAAACCCCGTTTACGAATGAAAAGCGGTTTACACACGACTCACAACTGCTGACGTTCGAACATATCCGGAACAAGTGCTTCACTGACGAATTTTGTTCGAACCACAACGCTGTAAATGCTTCGCCCACGTACTACAAATACAGATAATCGCCAACAGAACCTAAACACCTGACCTAACCTAACCTATGCCTATTTATACACAATATGCTAATATATTATAATATTAATTTATACTTGAGAAAATTCCCGTTTTGAATGAACAGCATGTTAAAATTTATGAATGCGTCTGTGGGGTTGACCGCTGAATGTAATGGACTTGAGTCGAGGATGGGTTGTTGTATTACATGGGTGAAGCATTTATAGAGGTGTGATTCGAACAGTAGTAGTCAGCGCAACCCTGTTCGAAAAATGCTCGAACGTCATCAGTTGTGAATCCAGCCTGTCCTCCAAAGACACAAAAATGATTCCGTGCACCCGCCAACCCCCCTGTTTATGCAACCCGTCCTCGACTCAAGTTCATTACATCCAGCGGTCAACCCCACAGACGCATTCATAAATTTTAACATGCTGTTCATTCAAAACGGGAATTTTCTCAAGTATAAATTAATATTATAATATATTAGCATATTGTGTATAAATAGGCATAGGTTAGGTCAGGTGTTTAGGTTCTGTTGGCGATTATTTGTATTTGTAGTACGTGGGCGAAGCATTTACAGCGTTGTGGTTCGAACAAAATTCGGCAGTGAAGCACTTGTTCCGGATATGTTCGAACGTCAGCAGTTGGGAGTCGTGTGTAAACCGATTTTCATTCATAAACGGGGGGTTTGGCGGGTGCATGGAATCACTTTTGGATCTTTGTTTGGAGGACGGGCTGGTTTATGCAACCCGTTCTCGCAAACAAAGATCCAAGATCTTTGACCCAGTCGCCAAACTCCCTGTTTGTGAATGAAAAACGGTTTACACACGACTCACAACTGCAGCCCGTCCTCCAAACAAAGATCCAAAAGTGATTCCATGCACCCGCCAAACCCCTTGTTTATGAATGAAAAGCGATTTATACACGACTCACAACTGCTGACGTTCGAACATATCCGGAACAAGTGCTTCACTGACGAATTTTGTTCGAATCACAATGCTATAAATGCTTCACCCACGTACTACAAATACAAATAATCGCCAACAGAACCTAAATACCTAACCTATGCCTATATATGCATAATATGCTAATATTTTATAATAATTTATATTTGAGAAAATTCCCGTTTTGAATGAACATCATGTTAAAATTTATGAATGCGTCTGTGGGGTTGACCGCTGGATGTAATGGACTTGAGTCGTGGACGGTTGAGAACTTCAACTCTGTAAAAGATCTCAGGCTATCTTAATTGCAAGCTTAATTGGCATTCAGTTCTTTAATTCTGCTTTTCACACTGGGGAGGGACGGTTCCTCTCGTAGATTATATGTTTTGCAGTTCTTAGGACTCCAAGAACGATTGCCATGGCTTCATTTCGTACGCTTTCAAGTTTTTTCATATCGCTTTGGGCATAAGCGCACAAAACTGGTGTGGCATAGTTTATGACGGAGCGCACATAGACTGTGTACATCACTTTAAGCGCGGCAATAAAGGCCCCATGTCCATTCCAGGTCATTGCTTTCAGTGCCCTGAGTCGACTTTTGCAATGCTATTGCCAAAAAACTGAGTTCGGTGCTACTTACCGGAGGAAACAGGAGAAGCAAAAATGGGATGACAGATCAGTCTGCTACCTGGAAGAAATTTACCTGCCTGAGCAAGCCTGTGAGCTCATGCCTGTAAAGAGGTAACCTTCCTGGGAGGTCATGTTCAATCCATGCAGGATTATTATCAATGAGATGACAACGACAAATTTCAACATGATACCACAAGAAATGAGACACATGTATCTCGAGGACATTTTTAAAGAAGCCGGAAATGAATTAGATCAAATCTATACTGATGGGTCATCTTAACCCTGTCAATGACAGGGATGGTGCAGCACACACTATAATTAGGAATAATGCCTTTCAATGCGGAAATAAAGAAAAAAACATGTATTAAGAACTTTGCCTCTTCAAGACAGTTCTCCTCCTTTATAGAGGGAGCCGGTCGGCCGAGCGGACAGCACGCTGGACTTGTGATCCTGTGGTCTTGGGTTCAATCCCAGGCGCCGGCGAGAAACAATGGGCAGAGTTTCTTTCACCCTATGCTCCTGTTACCTAGCAGTAAAATAGGTACCTGGGTGTTAGTCAGCTGTCAAGGGCTGCTTCCTGGGGGTGGAGGCCTGGTCGAAGACCGGGCCGCGGGGACACTAAAGCCCCGAAATCATCTCAAGATAACCTCAAGAAGGCAAGCAGAGTTAACTGCCATTGTTATTGTTTGAACGAAACACTAATGGTTCAGTGGTCTGCACTGATTCAAAAGCAGCACTACAAAGCCTTATTAAAAATCGGGCAGAAAATCTTGCGATAGTTTCTGAAATTAAGATCGCTGTGAGAGTACTAACCAATCAAGGAAGAGTCGTCAAATTCCTTTGGATCCCCTTCCATGTTGGAATCTGTGGGAATGAATGAGCAGATGTGCTAGCTTCTAAAGGCACTGAAGGAGACCATATTGAATACTTCATACTAAAGATTCTTCTACAAATTAGAGGTATTACCAGGCAACATCACCCTGACAAGGTAACTGAGAAAAGGTGGATAAAAGAACAAATCAGTGAATCTGTATGCTGCAACAATGGGGTTGCAGCTGGCAATCTCAATCATTATGAAAGAGGAGGAGGTGGCACGGGAGGGGAATCAGTATCAGCAAGAATCCGTCTTGGATACAAATATCTATGGATATTCGGAATGGAAACAACAGTTGAGCAGCGGAGTTCCAGAATCTGTGATGAGAGTGACTGACACCGCCTGGACCACTACCTAAGAGAATGTGAACATCTAAAAGTTATTAGAAATGTGTAGAATAATAAATCCCCCATTGAGTTAGGAAAATACGCTTTGTCAAATACAGATACTGTTCTTAAAAGATTTCCCCATTTTGCACCAGCAAAAGATTACGTAAGATTTTAATGGCTGAGAAATGTTTATCTTCTTGTTTGAGATGCTGTTCACTTGAGACGGTTAAGCAAGTCCCAGCTGTGTCTGGGTACAAGTAACAGGATGAACAACCCAGCTGTTTTTTCCCTATTGGGGAGTGTTGTACATGCTGTTATGGCGGTACGACTACTCACAGGATGAGTGGCGCTGCCCAATAAACTCGCCCCTCAGGGCAAAATTTAAGTTAACAGTCATGCAAACAGAGCAACAATGAGTCATGTATACATCCACAGTCTTACACAGCTCTAAACTCTCCTCTACTCATACATTACACATTGGGCTGTTTTGCGACCTTATTATTCCTAATAGGTGCAATTATTAAAACATTGTTCTTTAATCTGTATTAAATGCCATTAGCGTACATAATGTTAGATCTCAGTATCCTGGCAGCTTGAAAAAAATTATTATCTTTCAATTGCATTTAGTTCTGTTAATTCATCTCATCTGCAAGTAATATTTATGTACTGCACTCAACAATCCCATAATGCATCCGTAATATTTAAAACAATTACTCTATCAAACTATTGTTATCCACAGTTGTGTATTAAAACACCCCAGCTGCATCGTCCGTCAACTCAATCGTCAATCACTCCATCACCAAGCCCCAATATTTGATCAAATCAACTCTCATACTTTAAATTAATGCCAGTTAAGAATCCGTTTGACGCCCACCAGTGACGTGTGATCACTATCTCCTACACGTTGAAGTCTCCACCGGCTATATTCAAGCAAGCAATATTTAATTACTTATCCCTACGACACATGCAGTTAGACATCTCTAATGTTAACCTCATAAAAATTCAAGTGGCAAACAGCTAGGCAATCAGTATATCCTCATCTCACCCATCATATAATGAAAGAATTTTCTATTTATTAAATTTTTCAATGTGTAAACCAACCCAACTTGCACAAATACAATCAATGTGCAACTTGCAAAGACAATCAATGCACAACTTAAACAAATACAATCACTAACAGGGTCATAACCCAATTAGTGAGAGTGACTGAGGTCATGACCCTGCTAGAGAGAGACTGGTAGGGAACATGACCCTGCTAGAGAGAGACTGGTAGGGAACATGACCCTGCTAGAGAGAGACTGATAGGGAACATGACCCTGCTAGAGAGAGACTGGTAGGGAACATGACCCTGCTAGAGAGAGAGAGAGAGAGAGAGAGAGAGAGAGAGAGAGAGAGAGAGAGAGAGAGAGAGAGAGAGAGAGAGAGAGAGAGAGAGATTATCTTGTTTAGTAATTTTCTTACAGCTTGCGGGTCCCCACATTTGAACAATGCTAACCAGAGTATGTGTATTTTACTCTGTCCTTCATAGACAGTGTGGCAAGAGGGCTGCTGCAACACACAGTGAGTGTTTGAACAATCATCCACTGAACGTAATTCGAGTTTTTAGTTTTTCAAGTCATAATTACATCACTTATATTTCGTAACTGTTGCATTACATAGTAAAACATGGTTACAGGTGTAGTAAACAAGGTGTTGCAGTTTTTAGATGATGTTCACACTCTCAGTAAATATATAAGTGGTCACACTTGAAAGATTAAACATCTGAATATCCACAAACGTTTCAAGCAGGGAAGAAGAACATATTAACGGGGTATTCCCATAACGCGCAACAAGGGAAGGACATGTTAAAGGGGTATTCCCATAACGCGCAACAAGGGAAGGACATATTAACGGGGTATTCCCATAACGCGCAAAACAATCACCAAGATCGTAAACAAATTAAAGGAATCTAAAGCTCCAGGTGAGGATGATATTACATCTATAATCATGAGGGGCACCGTCTCCGTACATTGGAAATATAAACATTTCACTAACAAGCTCTCAATAAGGAACAAACAACTCAACAGAAACTTACCGACCTATCAGGCTTACATATCTACAAGTTCATGGGAAGAATCCTAAGAGAGGGAATCATTCATCATCTCACAGTGGACAATCTAGTCAAATCAACACAACATTGTTTTGTTTACAGTAAATTTTGTCTTACTAACCTGCTTACATTTTTTGGGAACAGTGACCGGCTATTCTGAGAAAAGACTCAGTAAGCGTAGTAGACCCTAGCCATTATGTAAACATAGAAGACTGGTAAGCTGCAAATATTGACTCATAAGTAAGGTGCTTCACCTTATCCTCATCCACAGCTTTATATCCGGCAGTACATTCATTTGTAACCATTCACATGTGTATTTAACGAAAAATTGTTCCTTATGTTCCCTATTTTATTATGTGTATTTGTATCAGAGTGGAACGGAATTTTGCAGAAAAAATATCCTTCAATAATTACTAGAGTTTCTTTACCGTGAATATGGGTAACTTGACTGTTCTTGTAAAGAAAACAATGTTGTGCTGATTTCACTAGATTGTCCACTGTGAGATGGTGAATGATTTCCTCTATTAGGATTCTTCTCATGAACTTGTAGATATGTAATGATGCTAAGAAAATAGAAACATAGAAAGCTTACAGTATAAGATAAAAAATGCCAGCAAACTGCAATCAATGTAAAACTGGCAGAGAATAACATTTATGAGTCTAGAAAAGAATGACTTAAGAGCATTGAACACGATACGTCAGAACCATGCTGGAGTATGGTTCTGATGCCCACTTAAAGCACAAATCCTCACAAATAATAGTCCTGAGTTACTAATCGCGACTCATTCCCGAACTGTCAGGATTATTCCCCAGGACAAGTCTAATGGAGCCACATCTCATCACGCTTGAGTAAAGATACGACAAATACATAATATGGACGAGTTAAGGCAGAAATGAGCAGTATTAGGTAGAGTAGTTCAAGGGGGACGTGGATATATTATGGCGGACACGATCAGTATGAGATGGAGTATATCAAGGAGGACGTGGATAAGTTAAGGCGGACATAATCAGTATAAGGTAGAGTAGTTCAAGGGGGACGTGGATAAGTTAAGGCGGACATGATCAGTATAAGGTAGAGTATATCAAGGGGGGACGTGGATAAGTTAAGGAGGACATGATCAGTATAAGGAAGAGTAGTTCAAGGGGGACGTGGATAAGTTAAGGCGGACATGATCAGTATAAGGTATATACAATCAAGGATTAGAAGGAGAGAGAGAGAGAGAGAGAGTAGAGGTTAATACAAAATATGATTTAATAGGTAAATGTGCCAAGGAAGAGATGGTAGAGAGTCTCTTGCATTACAAAACAAATAGGTTCTTAGATGAGGCTCTTGAGCTAACGGTCAACTACACCAGCATTATTCAGCGAGGCTGTTGGATGCCTTGACCATTCTTCACTCGTAATTACCAAGAGGAAGGAAATACCAAGACCCACCGTTAAAATTATCGTCATTGACCGCCACCGGCTGCTCGCCACCTGCCGCCCAGAGCCTGCTGCCGGCCACCTGTCGTCGACAGCCTGCTGCCAGCCACCTGCCTGCCCACAGCCTGCTGCCCACCACCTGCTGCCCACAGCTTGCCGCCCGCCACCTGCTGCCCACAGCCTGCCGCCCGCCACCTCCTGACCCCAGCCTGCCGCCCGCCACTTGCTGCCCACAGCCTGCAGCCCGCCACCTGCTGACTCCAGCCAGTCGCCCGCCACCTGCCACTCACAGCCTGCCGCCCGCCACCTGCCGCCCGCCACCTGCTGCCCACAGCCTGCTGCCAGCCACCTGCCGCCCACAGCCTGCCGCCCACAGCCTGCTGCCCGCCACCGGCTGCCCACAGCCAGCTGCCCGCCACCTGCCGCCCACAGCCTGCCGCCCGCCACCTGCCGCCCACAGCCTGCTGCCCGCCACCTGCCGCCCGCCACCTGCTGCCCGCCACCTGCCGCCCACAGCCTGCCGCCCGCCACCTGCCGCCCACAGCCTGCTGCCCGCTACCTGCCCTGCTGCCCACAGCCTGCCGCCTGCCACCTGCTGCACACAGCCAGCTGCCAGCCACCTGCCGCCAACAGCCTGCTGACCCCAGCCTGCCGCCCGCCACCTGCTGCCCACAGCCTGCCGCCCGCCACCTGCTTCCACCAGCCTGCCGCCCGCCACCTGCTTCCCACAGCCTGCCGCCCGCCACCTGCTGCCCACAGCCTGCCGCCCGCCACCCGCCGCCCACAGCCTGCCGCCCGCCACCTGCTGCCCACAGCCTGCCGCCCGCCACCCGCCGCCCACAGCCTGCCGCCTGCCACCTGCCGTCCACAACCAGCACACATTTGCCTGCTACCTACCACATGTGACTTCCCACCTTCGCCCCATCACCAGCCACCCACGACTAACCGGCTGCCTTCCACCTGCCGTTGTCCAAATCCCTCCTATCGCCTGCCCTCCGCCTGCTGCCTCCAGACCACCCAAGCCCTGCGGTGAAACTTAATGAACACCCAGCAGGTATATTACCCCGTAGAACCACCACATACTATCTACCACATTCCTCCTACCTCCCACATCCCTCCTACCTCCCACATCCCTCCTACCTCCCACATCCCTCCTACCTCCCACATCCCTCCTACCTCCCACATCCCTCCTACCTCCCACACACCTCCTACAATCCACATACCTCCTACCTCCCACATACCTCCTACCTCCCACATACCTCCTACCTCCCACATACCTCCTACCTCCCACATACCTCCTAACTCCCACATACCTCCTACCTACCACATACATCCTACCTCCCACATCCCTTCTACCTCCCACATCCCTCCTACCTCCCACATACCTCCTACCTTCCACATACCTCCTACCTCCCACATCCCTCCTACCTCCCATATACCCCCTACCTCCCATATACCCCCTACCTCCCACATACCTCCTACCTACCACATACCTCCTACCTCCCACATCCCTTCTACCTCCCACATACCTCCTACCTACCACATACCTCCTACCTCCCACATCCCTTCTACCTCCCACATCCCTTCTACCTCCCACATCCCTCCTACCTCCCACATCCCTCCTACCTCCCACATCCCTTCTACCTCCCACATCCCTCCTACCTCCCACATCCCTCCTACCTCCCACATACCTCCTACCTCCCACATACCTCCTACCTCCCACATACCTCCCACATACCCCCTACCTCCCACATACCTCCCACATACCTCCTACCTCCCACATACCTCCTACATACCTCCTACCTCCCACATACCCCATACCTTCCACATACCCCCTACCTCCCACATACCTCCCACCTCCCACATACCTCCTACCTCCCACATCCCTCCTACCTCCCACATCCCTCCTACCTCCCACATCCCTCCTACCTCCCACGTACCTCCTACCTCCCACATACCTCCTACCTCCCACATTCCTTCTACCTCCCACATACCCCCTACCTCCCACATACCTCCTACCTCCCACATACCTCCTACCTCCCACATCCCTCCTACCTCCCACATACCTCCTACCTCCCACATACCTCCCACATACCTCCTGCCTCCCACATACCTCCTGCCTCCCACATACCTCCTACCTCCCACATACCTCCTACCTCCCACATACCTCCTACCTCCCACATACCTCCTACCTCCCACATACCTCCTACCTCCCACATACCTCCCACATACCCCCTACCTCCCACATACCTCCTACCTCCCACATACCTCCTACATACCTCCTACCTCCCACATACCCCATACCTCCCACATACCCCCTACCTCCCACATACCTCCTACCTCCCACATACCTCCTACCTCCCACATCCCTCCTACCTCCCACATCCCTCCTACCTCCCACGTACCTCCTACCTCCCACAAACCTCCTACCTCCCACATCCCTCCTACCTCCCACCTCCCACATTCCTCCTACCTCCCACATACCCCCTACCTCCCACATACCTCCTACCTCCCACATACCTTCTACCTCCCACATTCCTCCTACCTCCCACATACCTCCTACCTCCCACATCCCTCCTACCTCCCACATACCTCCTACCTCCCACATACCTCCTGCCTCCCACATACCTCCTACCTCCCACATACCTCCTACCTCCCACATACCTCCTACCTCCCACATACCTCCTACCTCCCACATACCTCCCACAAACCTCCTACCTCCCACATCCCTCCTACCTCCCACATACCTCCTACCTCCCACATTCCTCCTACCTCCCACATACCCCCTACCTCCCACATCCCTCCTACCTTCCACATACCTCCTACCTCCCACATACCTCCTACCTCCCACATACCTCCTACATGCCTCCTACCTCCCACATACCTCCTACATTCCTCCTACCTCCCACATACCTCCTACCTCCCACATACCTCCTACCTCCCACATACCTCCTACCTCCCACAAACCTCCTACCTCCCACATACCTCCTACCTCCCACATACCTCCTACATTCCTCCTACCTCCCACATACCTCCTACCTCCCACATACCTCCTACCTCCCACATACCTCCTACTTCCCACATACCCCTACCTTCCACATACCCCCTACCTCCCACATACCTCCTTCCTCCCACATACCTCCTACCTACCACATACCTCCTACCTCCCACATACCTCCTACCTCCCACATACCTCCTACCTCCCACATACCTCCTACCTTCCACATACCCCCTACCTTCCACATACCCCCTACCTCCCACATACCTCCTACCTCCCACATACCTCCTACCTACCACATACCTCCTACCTCCCACATACCTCCTACCTCCCACATCCCTCCTACCTCCCACATACCTCCTACCTACCACATACCTCCCACATACCTCCTACCTCCCACATACCTCCTACCTCCCACATCCCTCCTACCTCCCACATACCTCCTACCTCCCAGGTATCTAGGCATTTAAGGACATCTAAACGACCGCGACGATATTACTCACAGAGCCACTTGGTAAAAATGAGTATGGGATAGAAAATAATAGAAGTAGCAGCTATTGTTGTATAAAGTAGATGTAGAAGTAGTAGTAGTAGTAGGAGTAGTAGTAGATACTTCAGTAGTATTAGCAGCAGTAGTAATAATTGCATTAGTTATGTAGTTGTTGACATAGTATTATTAGTAGCATCAGTAAGAGTGGTAACATAACATAGATGTAACATACACAGGCGATGAGTCACAATAACGTGGCTGAAGTATGTTGACCAGACCACACACTAGAAGGTGAAGGGACGACGACGTTTCGGTCCGTCCTGGACCATTTTCAAGTTGATTGTTCTGTAATACCTGTATAATATTACCTGTAACATACAGGTAATATTATTGGACTACGAACACGCGTGGTCTTGTGTCAGCCCCAGTGGTCAGACACGGGGCTGGCAAGGCGGTCGTGGCAGCCTGAGCGGTACACACGGGGCTGGCAAGGCGGCCGTGGCAGCCTCAGCGGTACACACGGGGCTGGCAAGGCGGCCGTGGCAGCCTCAGCGGTACACACGGGGCTGGCAAGAGTAGTAGGGAAGGCGCCTCACAGGGGATTTTTTTTTTCTGGGAGAAAAATCCCCTGTGCGCCCCAAGGGTTTCAGGTCCAAAGGGAAAAAAAGTGCCTGTGCGCCCCAAGGGTTTCAGGTCCAAAGGGAAAAAAGGTACCTGTGCGCCCCAAGGGTTTCAGGTCCAAAGGGAAAAAAGGTACCTGTGCGCCCCAAGGGTTTCAGGTAAATTTAGAAAATCGTGTATAGCGCTTGGGGGTTTTCAGGTAAATTTTGTCAGTCGCAGATTTTAGAAGTAAGGATTTCTTATGAGAAAAATAATTTCCGAGACTTAGAAGTTTGTTAAAGCCTTATGGGAGAAATTCAAATAACGTGTGTAGCACTTTAGGGCTTCCAGTAGAACTCTACGGACATATTTTACATGTTTTCAACTTACAAAATCGTCTATGTAAGCCTTAGTTATTCATATAAATTTAGAAAATCACCTGTGTAAGTCATTGTTTTCAGGGTTTCGTACATCACACCCCCCCCCCCCCCCCCCCCCCCCCTTACCTCGCAATCTGTCGCCTCACCTGTGTTTACTTTACGCCCGGTCAGCCAGACCTCTTATCTTATGTTATCTTCTCATAATATCTGGACCGTCCCTCCTCTCTCTCTCTCTCTCCTTTCACTCAGTTCAACTATTTTCCAACATCGTATGTTTGCTCCTTTTCATTAAGCAAGTCAGTATGTTTGCTCCTTTTCATTAAGCAAGTCAGTTTTACACAAATAAATCATGTTAGTAAGCAAGTTCTAGCTCACGTTCCCCACCTTAGTCCCCTGTCGTATAATGAATACTATCATTCCAATCCCTCTAAAATTTAAAAATAATCATATTTCAAACGTAGTTCAATACAGTAATTTAGTTACCAAGCTCCAGCTCTTGTCCTCCGCCTTAGCTCTCTCTCGTATCTTCGTTAGTATCAGTCCAATTTCCCTGAAATTTCTACCCTCTGTATTTCAGACATAGTTTAGTAAATGCAAACAATTATCAAACTCTAGCTCTTGTCCCCAGCTTAGTTCATTTGTACAAAATCATTAGTAACAGTCCAAATTCCCTGAGATTTTTAGCCTCTGTATTTCAGACACCGTAAATAAGATCAAAACAGTTACCAAGCTCCAGCTCTTGTCCTCCGCCTTAGCTCTCTCTCATATCTTCGTTAGTAACAGATCAATTCCCCTGAAATTTCTACCCTCTGCATTTCAGACACCGTAAATAAGATCAAAATAGTTATCGAGCTCCAGCTCTCGTCCCGCCTTAGTTCTCTTTCATATCTTTGTAAATAAACCATCAATTTCCCTGAAATTTTTACCCTCTGTATTTCAGACATAGTTTAGTAAATGCAAACAATTATAAAACTCTAGCTCTTGTCCTCTGTCCAAGCTCACTTTTGTAAAATCATTACTCTCAGTCCAAATCACCCAACTACATTTTCAGACATAGTAAATAAAAACTAGTTCAGTTATCAAGTTTCAACTCTTGTGCCCCAGCTTAGTTCTTTTGTACAAGTTCTTTATTTTCCAACTAAATCACCCTGAGATTTAAGATCACCGTATTTCTAACGTAGTAAAATTAATCGGGGCATTAACCAAGCTCCATTTCCTCAGCCTTAGATCATCAGACATAAATATATTCGATCAAGTCCCTCTCCAGCCTATCTGTTTATCAGAGTATTTACTTTACCCTTCTCATCCCCAACGTATCAATCCCCAACGTATCAAAACCTTCAATAATCATACTGTATTTGCATATTTTTTCTATATTCAGCTGTGTTCTTCACATTTTGTCCATGTTTTCTATGTTCACTCCATGTTCTTCAAAATGTTCACAGTCCCATTCAGTTCATATTTTCACAAGTATCTCCATTTTTTATGTAATCTTTCTCTTAGTCTCATTATGTTCTCTACAAATTCTAGTCATATTTTCTATGTTTTCATATTCATCACATGTT